CTCGAAAGCAGAATTGCCTGAAGTTGACACATGTCCAGAAGAAGCCAATTCTGCTGGTTCCATAGCAGACCAAGGGTGCTGTTTAGCCTCCGGTCTGCGTCAAGTCGATGCAAACTACGTCAACCTAGCTTCTGGCTTTGACATGGGTGTTGAACCTAAAACTGGGCGCTCTTTGGGGGATTCTTAAAATAGCGCCGGTCTTTCCTGAAACTTGGCGCTTGGGTGCTCTTGGGGAGTTTTTCTTTCTCGTGGGACTGCAAGACACCGTCAGCGGGAGTCTGGCCGAAAGCTTGACCACTCGTTTTTGAGTCAAAATCAACCAACATCTGCTAGGTCCTCCAGTAGAGAGGTTAGAATAAGGGTACCACCTTTTACAGTGTTGTCTATGTTAGTAGGGGATATGGCTGGAATTGTCCCCTACTACCCTCCAATTAGCGCGGCTTTGATCGTGACTCACTTGGCGTTCTGCCCGGGTTTCACCCAACTCCCCCCTGAGGCAGCTCTGGTCGAAGAAATGATCCCTCTTTTTGCTAAGGGGACCCCCTCCCAACAAATGGGCTTCCTTATGATGTCCCTCAAAACCACAAAACAAAAACAGGTACCCTCAGAAAGCACTATGCGGATGCTTGTTTTCAGGGAACCCCGCCAAAATGGAACTCGGTTCTCCTTTTGGTGCCCCCTTGAAAACCAGAACCCCCACCTCCCCCCTCCAAAAAAAAGAACAAGTTGTTGTCCTGTTGGCTTCCGCTGAAAACCAGAAGAAACAACAGCACCAAAAAAAAAACGAGCCATCCACTTTGAGACATACCCCGTATGAAGACATCCAGGTCCCTCATGCGCAATCTGAGGGGTTCTGAGGCTGCCGGCTCGCCTTCTTGCACCCGAACCTGGCAGCTGAGAGGGGGGGAGGGGGTGCGAACCCGAAAGAACTACCCACGAAAAAGAGAATTCACCAACCACAATTGCCATTTTTGGGCTGGACTCCAGAGGTCCAGGAAGATGTTTTTTGGGGAAAGGTGTGGAACAAATCCAGGTGTTTCTGTGTGGTTATGGTTGTGATTGTACTTGCTTGTTTGGCTGGCTTGCTTGTTTATTTGTTGCGGGTGCGGAAAGCCACAAGGGCAACGCAGGCAGGGGCTCTGACAAGCCCCAGGCTCCGCCTGCATATGACATCTTCTCGGGGCCCTGAAAAAGGGTACTGCCCCGTTTTCACAGAACACAGTTGACTTCTTCATATCAGAGGTGCCAAACCGAAAAACGACACTCAGCAAGCCTTGGTTGACGCTCGAAGGGGAGCAAACAAAAACAACTTTAGCAGTCGAATGGGGATTTATAACCACTAAAACAATAAGCAAACATGCAAAATGCTTCCCAACAACAACCATGAACCAAGCGAATTCAACATGGCGGGCGCACGGCGTGCGGTCCCACTCGGAGAGCACCTTGCGCCGATCTCGGTGTGGCTTGCCCCATTAAACTGGAGATCGTAGATGGCGGGTTTTTGTCGGTACTGAGCGCTGCAAGGATTATCTAGGTAAGGGTGCCAACTTTTTTCTGTAGTCTATTTTGGTAGCGGACCCTCCAAAAAAGAAACGGTACAAGGGCACTACTGGGGGCCCTAGTTATTATGCTGATGCCCCCATTGTTTTCGTAAGATCGGTACGGAGGATTCTGGGATTGTCTATATCTCGTTTCGCCTAGGCCTAGTCTTCCTTTGAGAGAGACTGAAATCCCCCCGAGTCTTTGCTTTTTTTCTCGAAAATGCCTGGAATGGTTGGGAAGCTGGAACTGAGACAAGCTTTGCACACCCAAAGGAATCTGTCACTACGTATGAAAGCTCGCCCACACATTTAGCGATGTCTTCAAAGGGCCTGCCTAAGCAGCATGAGTCGCGCGAAAAAAAGGCCGTGCAAACAAGCTTGCCCAAACCGCCTGGGAGTCTGAAACACAAGATCAAAGAAAGGATCATGAGGTCGGCTTGCTTTGGACAACTGATCACTTCACTTTGAGAGGGTTGGCAAAAGAAGGCTAGCGGTCCCCAACCTATTGCGACCCCCAGAGCCCAAAAGAGAAACAACATACTAAAACTAAGTGGTGGATTCCTGTCAAAGGTCACTTGGATGTTCCTGTTATGAACCACGGCCAACCGTAGTTTGAGTGCAACAAAGTGATGGGACACTTTCGCAGGGAGTTGCCAAATCGCTGGGGAGAGCTGATTTCATGCCATGTTGGATACCACAATTGTCCTAAGTGGAACCAAAGGGGAGGCTACAAAGTCGACCAGGCATGCTTGAACCAATGACCTCCGATCTCCGAGCCTGTCTTGCAAGGCCTTCTGCTATGTTCGAAATGTGCACCCATGGAGAAAGCAACCTGGACCCTCAAATGTCCCGGTGAGTGCAACGCAAAATGCAGCTGCTGAATTCCAGGGTTGTGGGATCACTCGGGGTTTCTCCCCACTTCTGTGATACTTTTGGGAATCCCCCTTATGAAGAAAAAAAACGTCTTTGGGAAGCCCTTTCTCTTGTATCACAGTCTCAGTTGTTCAGTGACCCTGGAAAGAAAAGGGTACCCTTCTTTGGTCTTGGACCATTTTAGTGGGGCAGCCACCAAAAAAAAGTTGGAAAACGAATTGGTGCCACTGAACAACTGAGCAGTGGATTCCATTCCAACCACAGTCCTGCTGAATTCCGACTTGGGTAGTTCTTTCGGGTTCACAGCCCCTGGCCCCATCTCAGCTTCAACAAGCTTGTGATTTGGAGTGGTGCCTGACCACAAATCCAAACCTCTGCTTGATCCATCCATCCATCCATCCATCTATCCATCTATCCATCTATCCATCTATCCATCGATCCATTGATCCATCGATCCATCGATCTATCCATCTATCCATCTATCCATCTATCCATCTATCCATCTATCCATCTATCCATCTATCCATCTATCCATCCATCCATCCATCCATCCATCCATCCATCCATCCATCCATCCATCCATCCATCCATCCATCCATCCATCCATCCATCCATCCATCCATCCATCCATCCATCCATCCATCCATCCATCCATCCATCTTGGCACCGAAACCCAATCAACAAAGGAGAAAAAACGGTGGGGAGTGGGTGCTAATCTCTCCAGTAGAGAGCTTAGACTCAGGGTCTCCATTTTCTTTTCAGTGGTCAATTTTAGTAGGGGGTTTTCAGTCTTGTCTATTTTCGTAAGGTCCCGAACCCTCCCAACCCAAAGAAACGGTGAGAGCTCGGGCACTTGCCGAGCCGAACGCCTGGGATCCGATGGGAAAGGCGATCTCCCCGAAGACGGACTTGCCTCGAGCGGCCCGACGCCCCGCGCTTCACGAAGGGGGGTGGTGGACGTTGGCTGTGGGAGCAGCTCTTCGATGTTAGCGGCTTAGCAAGGTGTGTGGAGTTCAACCACTGAACCACAAGCAGAAATGTAAAATGCGGCCAAAGTAGAACGGAAGGTGCCCTCCCACCAAGCATGGAACTTAGAGGGTCCCTTGTAAAGGGAGCATGCTCCAAACCAGGACCTTGGTTGACGTTGGGTTTGGGAGCAACAAACACTTTTAAAAAAATGAGCGGTGAAGTGGCTGGAATTGAAACACTAAACCACAACAAGCAAACATGTGAAATGTTTCCCAACCACAACCATGAAGGAAGGGGTGGTTTGGAGGTTTTCTGCAGGGGTAACCCCCATCCACCCTCTAACCAGGGACCGGTTCAAATCCCCAAACCACCACTCCAAATAATCAACTCCAGCACCCCAACTACTGCTTTGATTGTCCCAAATTCAATTATTGGGGTTGCTTCCTTTCAGGCTCCCCTTAATTGGTGGTTTGGAGCTGAATCGTTGGTTTGGTGGTTCTTTTTCGGAGGGGCAAACCCCATCTACCCTCTACAAGAAGGGACCCGTCCAATTCCACAATCCAATCCAAACCAGCAATTAAGGGGTGCCTGAAGTAACCTCACATTCCGTTGAGTGGATTGGCCAACAACACATCCACCTTTTGTTTAGCACCAAATGGTCTGCAGCTGAAGGAGACCATGGCCGATGGCCGCACGTGCCAAGTTGCCCCAAAAAACATTGTTACTGGGGCGGGAATCTCAATCTTTGGTGGATATCAGTTCACGTGGGGGTTGACCAATATCCCTGGCCCCCAATAACCATGCGTAGCTTTTCCCACTTAGCGGGAAATAGCATATTGTTTGGGGGGGGTTCCAACCAATGGTCATCCCATGAGTAGCAGACCTTTTGATCAACCCGCGCATGGAAATAGCCCCCGGAGACCCTGTCAGACCCTCCGGACCTTACCTGAAATCTGCTAACCGCATCTAACCGCCAGATCTGGGGCCTGTCTGAGAGACCTATTCTAGCTTTCAGCTGTTGGGGGAGCTGGCCATTCAAGCCGCCAACCCGTGAGGAGTGAGCCCAATGCATCGCCAGGCTGCTCATCGCCGAGCCATGCCCGAGGGCCCCAGCCGCCGCGCAGTTAGGCCACGACTCGAGTCCGATCTTCGGCTCGCAGGTTTGAGCTTGGAGCTTGAACTTCCGTTTGCCCTGATGTCCCCTGGAACAAATCAACACATGTCCACCAGTGATACATTCCCTAAAAAAACAGGGAAAATTGACCAACAAAGGAACACATAAACACATTTGCACTAGTGGTAGATTCCCTTTAAAAACCAACAAGATAAAATTAACACAACATGTTTCAACAAGTGGACTTGTTGACTCACAGTTGGTGCAGTCTGTGATGCGAAGGCGATCCATGTGCTTGCGTTGGCTCCAGATCACAACTTGCAATCTACGCCTGTCAAGCCACGCGGCAATCGGCACATTCGTAAGAACTCGGAAAACAGGCTCAAAATACTAAAACCAGCGTAACCGGCTGTTTAATCTTGAGCCACACCCAGTTGCTTCTCAGCTTCGAGCCAGACAACTAAGATACCTTCAAACATGAACTTCAAGCATCCGCATTTTTCCGCCCGTCGGCAGTCTTGATGCTACGCTAATCAATTGAATCAATGCGGTCGACACCTTGCCAGCCGCAGCTCCCTTGCTTCACCTTCGCGCGCGCGGAGGCGCGCGCGTGGTCCTTCTTCTCGTTCGGTAGAGCTCGGTGCTGGCTGGATGGCGTGTTCCGCCGCTCGCCGCGGCGGCGAAATTGTCTCATCGAGCGAAGAAGAAGGTACCCAGCAGCGTGAAGAGAGACCCCAGCAACTTCTGCCCGGTGATACGCTCCTCGAAATGTATCAAAACTGGCTTGAGTGCCCTTTTGTAGGGAAAGACTCAAAATTGGTTGCTGTCCCTTCGTTGTTCCTTTCGACCAGCCCCAAAAAGGTTACCGTATGTGTTGGTGTCTGTGTATGCGTTTGTATACATGCCGTTTCTTTGAGGAAGTATGCTCAACTTTGTGTTGTTGAGAGTACCTTTTCAGGTGAGTCACAATCAAAACCGATCGGTATGAAAATGGTCGATCACGCCCAGAACCATGCAGCTCAAGAAGAAGAAAAAAAGAGAGATGAGGCCTTTTACCATTTGGTGTTTATGCTTGGGATGGTCCCTTCATCCCTCCCCGGGAATCGGTTTCGGTTTTGAGTGGCTGTGGCTCAGGTTGGTTCGGGGGCCAAAAATCTGGGGCACCGTGCACCTCTGAAGGACTCACATCTGTTCGACTGGCTGGATCGAGATAGTCAAGGATCTTCAGCCCTAACCATGGGAATATGCCAAGCAACTGGGGTGAAATCGCAAGTATATCCATAGCCTACTTATGAAATGGGTTGAACATCCAGGTTCTGGAAACAATAGCAATTGCACGCCCCTTTTTTTGCCTTGGGGCAAAGAGGCTATGATGCGGTGAGAGGTGTTGTGGTTGAAAAGGGGACCACCCTGACCACTCGTCTTCGGATTTCGATGGAAAAAGTGGCACGTAGGGCACCTTCTTCGTCGCTCCTTCATAGGGGAAGTAGGAACCTCAACCCTCAAAATTCCCTCAAAAAAGTGTTGTTGCCCCGATTTCTTATGGGTACCTAGAGTCTCCATGACCCCTAAGTAAAGGAGTGATAACCCCTGAATTGTGGGTAATGACCCCCTTTTTTAAGGGTCATGGAGACTCCAGGAAGTTTTTCCGGGTCCAGAAACTCAATGGAGCGATTTCCAGTCGCAGTTTGGCCCCAAGAAGGCCTTGGGGTCGCCGCACAAAGGGGGCCAGCCCCAAGCCGATAACCAAGAAGGGCACCCATGCCACTGGCTGTGAAGGCTCCTTGGTGTAGGTCATTCTCTTAGGGGACCATCATTTTTTGGGCTGTTGTCCTTTTGGTGTTCCTCGAAACCAACAGGGGTACATTGGAATTTTGACCAACTCCAAACAAAACCAACCAGGGTGGCAAAACCCCACTTCCTAACTGAACGAACATCCAAGTAGAACAAAACAACACCTTGAGGAACCTCCAAAAAAAAGACACACACAGACAGAAAAAAAGGGACCCCCCCCCCAGAGAAATCCCCCCCCCCAAAAAAAAAGAAGGACCCCCCAGAGGAATGGAACAAAAAGGAACGCGCGCCCGCAAAACGCCAAAACGCCCAACGCCCCTCCTTGGTGAAGGCCGCGGCCAGCAGCATGGTGATGGGCGGATAGCTGGCCGTCAAGGCGCTCACGGGGCCCGCCTGGCCCTGCGCCATGGCCTCTGTCGAAATTTTCGGGGGGCGGTGCTTGAAGGGGCCATGGGGTACCTCAGGTAAGTGGGGCGGTACAGAAAAAGGGGCAGAGTGCGTCAGGTCAGTGGTTAAGCAAGGTGAGAGGACCCACAGAACGGAGGCTTATAACCAGTGCTTGTGTGGATTGTAACCAGGCTTACTAACCACCTGGAGTCTCCTTCTGACCCCTTTAAAGACAGAAGCTGCATCTGAGCATCCATCTGGTCAAGAAAACAAAAAAACTCGAGAAAACCCAAAAACACAAAACAAACACAATATCTGGGAAGTCTTCTGCCATCTGGTCAAAAAACCAAAAAAACCTCGAGAAAACAAACAAAACAAAGAAACCAATATCTGGGAAGTCTTCGGCCAGGGGTCGTCTCCAAAGAGTGTCTGAAAATGGGTTCTTTTGTTTTGTTTGTTTTGGCTTTCTCGAGCTTTTTTGTTTAATTTGTTTTCTATCGTTTCTCTTGGCTTCCTTTGCTTTGTGTGTTAAGGGCTCCCTGTCTCCAGTCTCACATGTGGATGTGAAAACAACTTGTCCGTTCCGCAGTGTTGAATTCACACTCCTTGGCCTCAACATCAACTCGCGTAGTTATGGCAAGTGTGGGCTTTGTGGAAAGTTTTCGGCGCCAACTCGGTGAATGAGATGCTGCCCTGTCCTTTGAGAAAGCCAGAATTCTCTTACCCTTGGAGTTGTATTCCCCTGGTATTCCCCTAATAGTCCCCTATTTCTGTAGCATTCCCTTACCTCTAGAATTGTATTCCCCCAGTATTCCCCTAATATTGTTCAGTATTCCTTAGTATTTTCTTGGTGTGCCCCTAGTCTTCTCCAAATACTCCCCTGATATTCTCCAGCATTGCCCTTTGTACTTCCCCTAGTATCCTGCATTTGCGCTCCAGTTTCTGAGTAGCAAAGAACTAGGGAAACACCGAGGGGCTAATAAGGGAATAGCAGGGGAATAACAAGAGGAAATGCTAGGAGAATACTAGGGGAATACTGGGAGATACTACTGCGAATAAACCAAGAAAATACTCAGGAATGCTGGGGTTACTGGGGGAATATTGGGGGAATGCTAGGGGTATTCCAAGAAAATACGAAGGAATACTAGGGCAATACTGGGGGAATACTCGGAGCGTATAATTATTAGGGGTAAGAGAATGCTAGAGGAATAGAGAATGCTAAGGGGAATACTTGGGGAATACTGTGAATATTGAGAACATACTAGGGGAATATTGAGGAATATTGAAGGAATACTGGGGAGTGCTGAGAGAACACTAAAACAAGAGAATACTAAAGGAATATGGCAAGGATGGTGGAATAATTAAAGGAAAAATGAGGAATTTTCGAGAATTTTCAGGGAATTTTCAGGAAATAGTAAGGGAATGCTATATAATGGAACGCTGAGAGAACACGAAAGAAATATTAGGAAAACACTGAGGGGACAATACGGGAAGTGCACAAATCTCGAGTTCCCTTAATTCCTTTTGGATTTTCTTGGTATACCCCCTAATCTTCTCTCAGTGTTCAAGTGTTCCCCTAATATTCCTTCAACATTCCCCTTAGCAGCTTCTTGGCAATTCCCTAGCGGACCCCCTGCATTCCCTCAATATTCCCTTACTATTCCTCGAATGTTCTCTTGGTGTACCCTCTAGTATCTCCTCAGCGTTTTCCAACATTCCCTTAACCCTAAGTAGTCCGTATTATTTCATAGTATTCGCTTGTGTTCCCTTACTGTTCCCCTAGCATTCCCCTTGCTGTTCCTCGAATAGTACTCTATTGCTTCAGAATTATCTTACTCCTAGAGTTGTATTCCTATTCCCCTAGTATTCCCCTCATAGTCCCCTATTTCTGCAGCATTCCCTTACCTCTAGAATTGTATTCTCCCAGTATTCCCCTAATATTGTTCAGTATTCCTTAGTACTTTCTTGGTGTGCCCCTAGTCTTCTCCAAATACTCCCCTGATATTCTCCAGCATTGCCCTTTGTACTTCCCCTAGTATCCTGCATTTGCGCTCCAGTTTCTGAGTAGCAAAGAACTAGGGAAACACCGAGGGGCTAATAAGGGAATAGCAGGGGAATAACAAGAGGAAATGCTAGGAGAATACTAGGGCAATACTGGGACAGAATACTGCGAATAAACCAAGAAAATACTCAGGAATGCTGGGGTTACTGGGGGACTATTGGGAGAATGCTAGGGGTATTCCAAGAAAATACGAAGGAATACTAGGGCAATACTGGGGGAATACTAGGAGCATACAACTACCAGGAGTAAGAGAATGCTAAAGGAATAGAAAATGCTTGGAGAATATTAAGGGAATACTAGGGAAGTATTGCGAATAGTTGGGAACATATTAGGGGAACAAGTACAAGGCGGATCTGAGGGCAAAGCGAAAGTCCAAGCCATATGCGTGGGGCAAGTAACCCGCTTAGATTACTTGGGTTTGTCCTATTGCTATAGGAGTTTTGTGGTCTGTACTCCAGAAGCGAGTAGCTTAGAGGTGGTGCATACTCCAGAAGAATGATATGCGCATGAAAAACGTGTTTTTATCTAGTTATCAGCCCTATTTTGCCAGAAAACACTGTGTTTTCTAGCATGTTCATGTTAAAACCACATCCCCACCAACACCCGGTCTCTTTAAAAATGGGTCCGTGACCCACTTCTTTATTTTGGGGAATGACCAACCATTTTTAAAGGGTCAGAAGGAGACTCCAGGTGGGTAGTAAGCATGGTTATAGCCCACAAAAGCCATGGTTATAAGTTATAAGTCTCCGTTCTGTGGGTTATAACCTGGCCTACTTTCCACTGACCTGACATACTCTGCCCCTTCAAGTAGGGAATGTGATATGAAATGAACCCAAACGTCCCCAATAAAGGACACCAGCTGGATGGTCCTTGGGAGCAAGTGTTGGGATTGGTGACTTGGTGGTTGAGGGTTTCCTCTCGGAACATATCCCATGATTAAAACAAAGCAACTGACAGCAGGGGTTCACATCCTGCAATCCAAGCACCAATTAGGGGGGCAGTTCCTTTGGGCTTTTTGCAAGAATCCAACCAAAAAAAGCAACACCCATCACCCTAGCCCTCTACAAAAAGCCTGAATTTCAAATCCCAAACCACCAGTCGGAATGGGTCGACCTACACAATCTGGATTCCTTTTCGGGCTTTTACACACTTCCAACAAAAACAAAAACAATTGCAGGGGGGAAATTCGATATGCGAGTGGTTGGATAGTAGCTCTATCTCCCATGTTCCTTTGCAGTGTTCCTATGGAGTCTCCCTTCAAACCGGACTTCAATAGCGCCACTGAGCAACTGGGAAGGCTAGCAAACAGGGGTCAACACCAGGTACTTGAGTGGATGAGCCAACAAAACCGTCCAAACTTTTTGTTTACCACGAAACTGGTCCAATCTGAAAAGTAACTCAAGTCCAGAAACTTAGGAAGTGACACCACTGGGGTTCGGTCAATTTGGCAGGCAAAGCAATGACCGAATATTGATTTTGACAGACCGCTTTGGGCAAAGTCCCCTCATGCTGAACAGGGGTAACGAGGGGTAAATCTGCCAGAATTCATGGCCGCACTCAGTTCCTCCATGGATGGGCTTAAACCAGCCTTGCGAATCAAACAAATGCTTAAACCGTACAAAACACAGACTAACGTCACACAAGTCCAATTATTTCTGGGCTGCCCTGCCCCCCCCCCTACCCCGGAACCCAAACAAATCACATGAACGGGTCACGGGTCCTTTCCAATTTGCTGGACCTCACAGGGGGGTTCTGTCTCGGAAGGGGGCTTGGATGCGCATCCCACTGTAAAACAGTCGTGGGGCCTCTTTCTTAAGGAGGATTTAGCGATTGCTTCTCAGCTGCGGCGAAAGTGCCCTTTCGCATCTTCAACATGTCGCTTTTCAAGCATGGTGCTTGCTTCCTGTCTAGCTAGATGTTCATAGTTCATAGTACCACAGAAACAAAAGAACCCGATTCACAGGATCAGGATGTAACAAGGCGAATATCTTGGGACGCCTTTTAAAGGCTGCAACGCCCGAAATCACCTGGGACCCTCCCCCTTCTGTCCGAAACAGGTGGCAGCCTAAGGCCTGTGAAACTTACCCAAAGGGACTGCCCGAACCCTCAAACTACCCGCAAAAAGGGAATTCACTCCATGCTTTTGAGAAAAAAATAATAAACGAATTTGAAGGTCCGGGTTTTCTGAAGGTAAACACGGTTCCTCTCCCCCTCGATTTACCCTGGAATGATTTGGCTCCCGAACGTGAATGCCAACGACCGCCATGGTTTCGTTCCCGTTTCATAAAACGTGGTGCGAGAGAAGGGGATTTTTCTCAAGGGCCTGGCTGTTGCGTGACCCCAGAACGGAGTCCCCGTAGAGGTCCCGTTTAGGGATTCTTCTATGGGAGCACGGACCATCGAGGTGCTGAGCCAGAAGAAACATCGTATGTACATATGCATATATATATATAAGATATATAGAGAAAAGCAAGAGTACAAAGGTACATGCTTACAAACAAAAGGGGGATTCAAGGGCTCTACTTAAACTTCCCAACCAAAGTTCCAACCTTAAACATATGAACTATTGCAGCCCAAAATGACCCAAAATTCTGGAATTGGCGACTCCCCTTTTCTTCACTTCCTGAGTGGAGGAGCCAAAAAGGCCCGAACAAAAGCCCAAGCTTCTCGTGTACCACCAAAATGACAACGAAACCCAAGTGCCTAAAGTCCGAAATGGAAGTCAGGAAGGTTTTTCTTATGGGCCTCCCTTTCGGGTCCAGGAAACCACCACGTCCACTTGATTGAGCCCTGAAAAATCATTTCCGTGATAGATTCCCTCTTTTGAAACCAACAAGGGATAATAATGATATATTAATAAAATGATTAAAACCAAAAAAATGATATATTAAAAAAAAAAATAAAAATCAGCCAATGGAAGAATCTGGCCCCACCCAACCCCACCCAACCCCACCCAACCCCACCCAACCCCACCCAACCCCACCCAACCCAACTCCCCCCCCCCCAGCGCTTGGCTCGCTCGCCCGCGCTCGCCTGGGAGTAATACTTCGAGGCCAGCGCCGCGCAGGCGCCGCTCAGCATGGCCCAGAGCCCCCCGCTGCGCAGCGCGGTGACCGAGAAGGTGGAGAAGGAGGGCGCTGGCCCCTGTGGAAACAAGGCTTCGGATCGAATCAGGAATCGGAAAATAGAAAGCGCCCCGCCAATATGTTCGTTTCCTTTTATTGTTTCGGGGCTGAGCAGGGCGACCCTACCCTCCCCCCCCCAAAAAAAAACTGCTCAAGTCAAGTGGGTGGAAGGAGGGCGCTGGCCCCTGCTCGAAGGAAGCGACGGAAGCGACGGACGGAACCGACGGAACCGACGCGATTGATATCTCGGGGTTGAGCAATGCTGACCCTCCCAAAAATATGTTCAAGTCAACTGGTTGGAATCCAGCAAGCATATGGTTTGAATTGCAAGAATCTGCGACTCATTTGTTTTGAGCCTTGCGGCTCAAGTGGCTGCGGGTACTCTGGATGAACGAGAACATCGGTTGAAACCACGACGTTGGTATTTACCATCGAGTTGTTTGCATGGCTACCCTCCAAATTCCCAGCCTTAAGAAAGGGTTGCCACCAAACATCACGGTAAGTGAATTCCAACCTTTTGTATGGTAGTTTGAGGGGTCAGGTACATCGCGCTTGGTGGTATTCCAGATTCATTTTGTGGCTTGCAAGCTAAGGCGAAGCAACACAGAGTTGATTCACTGCAAATAGGTCCCTGTGGTGCTGTTGGATGATGCTGGTGATTGCTAATGATGTTGGTGATGCAGTGTGGGACCATCCTTAGGTATATACAGTATATTATTGAAATACCACATCTTGGAGACAAATAATATACGCCACAATTCCCTTTGATGTGGGCAAGTAAGAAGAGAGGCAAAATCGGTGTAACCTGACCCAGACTTTGCCCCCCTTTGGCCCCCTGCAATTGTTTTCTTGGGTCTAGGATAACGTTGACCCTGGTTAGTACCTGGACCATCAAACCCTTATTTTAAAAAAAAAATAAAAAATGGTTATTGCCGCAAACCTATCCGGTGCCCACTTCTGAGCCCCCTTAGCGGTATTTGTGTAACCCAGGTGGCTCACCACTGACCAACTTGGCCGAACATCCAAGTACTGATTTGCCTAATCTACTTGGTAGTCGTAAGGGCTTCCCTAAAGCGAAAAAGAACGAGCTGGACACAGTCTAGCATCTTACTGCAAGTTGCTCCAAAATCGAGGTTTCACAAGCGCATGAAGGGAACCCCCCTAATAATAAGCAAGACCCAGCCTGAAGAATCCGGAATTCAAACGCCACAGTTGTATTTTGCTTTTCCTATTGCTGTCCTACTCGCTCGCCAGAGACAGAGAACTGGAGCGCCAAAAAACCGAAGACGATTCGGTGATATGGCGGGGGCCTGGAGGCCCTCCAGCCTCGACCTTGGGGGTTGTTTCTCTCCCATTTGCTTCTTCCCCTGGAAAAAAAAATGGAAAATATATCCAGTGGTCATAGATTCCAACTAAACAACAAGGCAAACAGAAAAAAAACGTTCGTTTCAGCAAATGGAATGGTTCGGTTGATTGTTCTTAATTACCCCCGCAACCTCATTCTAGTCAATGAGACCCTCATGGTAACGGAAGAGGCTCGCTAATTGATATGCTATGCTCATGCCTCTGACATTCGAATACCCCACACCGCCATAACAATTGTCAGGCCGTGCCCCGAAAATCGGCGCCACATTCTAACCAGAAGAACCAATCCCCGATTTCCAAAGGTTTGAGGCTCCCCTACTTTTTTCTGGGTTACCCGACTCCAAGGGCATGTCTCCCTCAACATTGCCTAGAACATGGGCTACTGCACGGTGGGTTCCAATTTTTTCTGGGTTGTTTTCAGGATCCAGGTGGTCAAAATGCCAGCGCCCCGCCTCCACCTCGGCCGCAGAGCGGCTGCCTCTCATCACCAGGGGCATGCAAAGGAAGAAGCCCAGCTTCTCCAGCGTCGCCTTCGATCCAGCGGCGCGCAATCCGGGCTTTAATAATCCAGCCCAAAAGGACCTCCCTGAGGCTACCGATGATTTTTGGGCCCTCAAGATGGGTTGTTTTCAAGGGCCCCTGAAGGAATTGGTCCGGGCTCTTCAGTGGAGGGTTCGGGGGCCTGCATTGGAGGGGTCATGGGCCTTCGGGCTGTTGGAAAACAAGGACGCTCCACATCCCAGACCCACAGGCATGGCGATCAAGTATGCACCTTATCCACCACACAGCATTGCCTTCTGCATAGAACCAAGTTGCAACATCTCCGAATCCTCGACATCCGCTGGAAAAACTGAGGTTTATATCCAGGATACATCCAACAGCTACCCGCTCCAAATCCGCTGGAACCTCATAGGGTTTAACTCGCCATGTATTTGTTTGATGCAGGAATTTCTGTGAAACCACCCACCAACAGTCAGAAGTGAAGTGGCCAGGTTGATGACCCTGGCTAGGTGTCTGAAACTGGGAAAAGTTGATGGGTTTCCCTGGATGGATGGCACAAAACCCAGGCAAAGCAGGGGGAACCCATTCAATGTTGACCCAGGATTAATAAGCCCGTCCCAGTATTAGGGTGGTGTTCCCTCCAAAAGTGGTCTGATCCCCCACTAAAAGGAATTGGACACAGTCCGATCAAAATCAACCAGAGGTTCTGCTTACTCCGGGCTTAACCAAAAAAAAACATTGCCCCAACTCGATCAAAAGGACATGGTCCCGAGACCCCCTTGGCAAATCAGATCCAGTCACCTGGCAACTCACGGGACCTGAGAGCCAAGCCTTTGGCTTCGCCGGGAAAGCACCAGCCGAGGCCCAAAAACATGGGCCATTGCAGTGCACCGCCCAAAAAAAATCCGCCGAGAAAACATGAAGCACCTGTGAGGTGCTTGGAAGATCAAAGTTTCCTCAATGAACCCCCTAAGTGCCATGACGGGTAAATTAACGAAAAGAGGCCCGAACTTGTTGTTTGCCACTCTTGGGATTGGCAAAAATCTGCTGGATCCAGGCGCGGAACCATGTTCCGGTCAAAAATGATCCGGATCGACTGAACAACTCGAGCGTTCAACTCTTATTCAAAGGGTATGTCGATCCGTCCCCGTTGAACTTCCACCCAGGCTCTGGCTCAAAAGAAGTCCATGTGTCCAATCCCAGGACCCCCATCAGGTAATTACCCGATTCAAAGATGGAACACATGAGCAAATTTCGTCCGACAATGGGATAATTACCAGTCAGCAAGATACATACGCACACACACACAGACACACACACACACACTCTTCTGATCATACCAATTTATATATGTGACCCGTTCAATGAGTCCTTTTGTCCTTTGGCGCTGTGTCAGAAAGAACCTCGTGAAACAGCAGGAAAGCGAAAAGAGGAGACCAGCCCGGGTCACCTCTCAACCCCCAAACGAACAGTCTCATTCCTTGGCTGGACTGAAGACCCCAGCAACTTCTTTCTTTTGGTTGCCTTAGTGGAAAACAAACAGGACCCCAAAAAAACATAAAGAAAATAAAAATGGAAACTCATTCTGGGGAAGATTGGATTTTTGTGTTTTAAAAACATGCCTCCCACCCTGTTCGCATGGAACCGTTCGACATTATTTTGGGAATCGGTCTTGGTTTGGACCACTTTCCTTTGAAAGAGACCGGGTCCCCGACAGGTTCCTTGTTGATTGGTGGAAGTTCAACTTTTCTACGGTCGTCTTGTTAGTTAACAAAAAAATGTGAGGTGGTACCAAGCGTACGATGTTTTTGGTTTAATAAGAAGGAGCCCTCTCTCTCAACACTTGGTAACGCTAAACTCACTTGAGTGGATGGAAGTCTAAGCTTCAACCCCAAGCCTCCCAAGTCAGAGCTCAAGAGGTGAGCGCAACAAACGAAAACAAGCGCCCGCCAAAGCTGACCAAATTTGAGTCATTGAGCCGAGCCGAGCGGCCTGCTGAGAGCTGGAGAGACCCTTCACCAAGGCCAACTTCCCCAAGAAGCCCCAAAGACCGTAGAGCACCACGCAGACCAAGCCTTGGACGTCGAAACTCGCAATTCGAAACTTCGAAACCCAGGTTCTCGAGCCTCTCGCCGAGAAAAAAGCCTCAGGTTCGTGTCCCCCGGATGAGAATGGCCCGCGTCCGGGGTGCACCGAAGGTGTCGATTTATTGGCAAAATGGTAAGTATTGGTTGGTCGGTGTCTCGAACAAAACAAACAGTCTAGCCTAACACGTAACATATCTTTTTGCCTGTTCCATGTATTGTCTCACAAGAAACTATTGGAGGAGACCCCCAGTATCCCCCAGCAGTTTTCATCGAGCCGCGCGCCAGGCTTTTGGGAGAAAACCCGAGTCTCAAGGAACCCGGGAACTTCGGGTCAATTCCAAAATCTGCTGTTCCACGGCGTGTTGGCTTTGGCCAGAACACTTGCATCACGCCAGTGATACCTCATGTTGGTACTTGTTGCTAGCAATACTTTTAGATTGTGTGGTTTAAATGGATGCTCGATTGGGTAGAGGCCAACACCCAACTGTGTTTTTTTCAGCTTTGGGACTCTTGCTCTCTGTCCGGGTAGGCTCCGGGGTGGTTTGGGGCCATGTCCAACATCCCTGGGTACTGTCCAAGAAGCAGTTGTTGAAAAGTTCTGGTGGCTGCAAAGAGTTCTTATCATGGGGGTCTATTGCACTGTCGGCGACCCGAGGACAAGTTGTTTGCGCGGCCGGAAAACAAGGCCCGGGATTTTGGAAGGACCGAAACGCTAATTACAAACATACGCTCGAGATGGCTCAGAAGGTTTGCCGAGGGCTCAAAATGGGTTAGCGCCTCTTGTGGGAAGCACGGAACTCATGTCCCTGTCATCATGTTTTGCTGGTTTGTGCCGAGCAATGCAACGGATGAAACGGCCGCTTTCAGAATCTACACACCATACGCGACTACAGGACTTCGGTGGTCAAGCGAAGCATGGATTGATTTCAACCCAGTTGTGAATGAAACTTAGGGGTGCCCACCTGGTGATCGAAGGCATGTCTCATGAACGAACATGCCTTCCCGTATCTCAGAAGTCTAGGTATCTACTTGTTTGACGTATGAGCTTGCTTCTGATTCTGGCGCAGGATTCAACACTGCCCTCATGTCATTGATAGTCACTAAACACACGCACATTCACCATCACCAAGGTTAGTACCCTTCGAAAATGGACAGTGGCCACAGTACAAGTGCGGAAGGTACCCTTCCACCAATCAACATGGAGCCTAGAGGGTCCCTTTAAAATTGGAAAATGCTCCAAACCAGGACCTTGGTTGACGTTGGAAGGGAAGCACAAATTGGAATTTCAGCAGTTAAGTGGTCGGACTTCAACCACTAAACTGCAATACGCAAACCTGGACCCTCAAACTACCCATAAAAATTGGATATCACCCCATGATTTTGGGGCTCAAACCCATTTTTCAGGGAATGTTGAGGGTCCAGGAACATGTAAAATGTAAATCCCAACAGCAACCATGGGACCCCCCTATCAGGGTGGTGGGGCACCTCAGGTTCGACCCGAAACGCGTTCGATCCCGCCCAAGGGCTGTTGCCCAGCCAACTCTGTGACAGCGCCGCCATGGCCGCCGAGGAAAGCTGCCGGCTCTGGAGCCAACAGGTCGGCCGAGCTGGTGTCGAGCTGGTGTCATGCCAGGCGAAATGAGTACTCCTCAAATACCCATAAAACAGCAGAAGTCCCACCATAACGTTGGCTCAATAGCCCATGCTAAAAGGTAATTTTGAGGGTCCATGGACATCTGTGATCAAAATTCAATTGGCGGTTTCAAAGGAAACCGCCCCTCCAAACATGATGCCGAGAACCCGTCAAAGTGTAACCAACCAAGCAAACGGGATCCAGGAAACATGCCCCCCCCCGAACCAAACGCAGCCGCTCCCGGTCCGCACGCCGCCTCTGCCATGTGCTTTCCCGTGTCTTTGAATCGGTGAAACGGCCATCTCGCGAGGCTCCGAAACCGCTCTCCAGACCAAAAGAGACGGAATTCACCGCATGGTTTTGGGGCAATAACAAATTCTTCCTCAGAACTCCCTTGAAATTGTGGCTGTTGCCCCAAAGGATGCTGTAAAAATTATTATGTTTTACGGGGTAGTTTGAGGGTCCAGGTCCACCTGAATGTGAACATATGACTTGAGCTTGAGACGGAGCAAACAACATGACAACCTGAGCCCAGGATCCCCAACGGCTCCAAGTAGCTCTTCCTGTGCAGGACTATAGATGGTGTACTATGAATCGACACTCAGCTTGTGGCCCCACCCGAGAAAAAAAAAGGAGAACAAACACATGGTTTGATTCCGGCCCCACATTTGAAAAAATGCAACAAAGATCGGGCCAAAACCAAACCTCCATTTCCCACACGCCGTCGGAGCCCTTCGGAACGAAGGATGGATCTTTCCATTTGCTTCAGACAGACCCCTGAAAACAAGAAACCCGAACCCTCAAACTACCGAAACAAATGGGAGGATTTCGCCGCAACATGTTGGGGCAATAAATAGGCCATGTTCAAGATATTTTGAGGGTCCAGGACATCTAGGTCCTCCAGATTTGAGAGGTTAGAATAAGTTGGTACCAACTTTTTTCTGCAGTCTTTTTTAGTAGGGGAACCCTCCCCCAAAAAAGAAACGGTAAAAGGGCTACTGGGGGACCTAGACATTTTCATTTCAGCCAACGGAAGGATCCAAACTCGACTCACAGGCCCTTGAGGGCAGCGGAGAAGCGCCCTTTCAGCACATCGCAGACCTCTTCCAGGCGAGGAAAAAGGAAATCGGGGGCCGTGGGCCAAGTGGCTCAGATTCGCATGGAACCCCCAAAGATGTGGAAATTTCTGAAAAAAGTGTCTAACTTGCTTGACCTTGGGTTTGGGGAGCAAAAACTAGAAGAAAAAACACTTAGCAGTTCAGTGGATGTGGATTTCAACCACCAAACCACAATAAGCAAAAATACGTAAGATGTAAATCCCAACAACAAAGCCATGTACCAAGACTTGGGTTGTTGGTAACCTAGGTTCTAACCTACTTCTGAGTCCCCTGAGTGTTACTTGTGTTATGGTTCTAACCTACTTCTAACAACCATGCAAAGGGAACTGCTCCCACGGGCTTGGCCCTCCTTTGAGTCTACAGTGGCTGTCCCCTTGAACCAAACCCAAAAAGGTTAGACCAAGAGGATTGGGGTCGGCTAAATGGCTAATTATATGGGTCAAGATCCTTCTGGAGTCCCATGGGGAAACAAAGAAAACTAAGAAAACAATTACCATTGTTGATGGGGAGACAAAGAAAACCATGGGTTGAGGTTATCGAGGTTTCAAGCCAATTACCATTGTTTCACCATCAGTTTGTTGTTGGGCAATCAACCCTCAAAGAAAACAAAGCATTGTTGTTGAGACCCCAATCACAGGCGCTGGGGTTGAGGCGGTGGACCTTCGCCGCATCTGGAGTCTATGGTCCAACCAAACCTAGCGACCAACAGCTACCATGAGGTAAAAAGCCGCTAACATGTTCTTTCCAATATGCAAACAAGAGCGGCTCCAACACTTTGTACAACCCTTGCTATGGGCTTGCAACAAAAACAAAACCGTCAACTTGGAAGGTAACGTGAGTACTTGGAAGTAGGTCTGTTTCCCAGCTGGGGAAACTAGGAAACTGCTGGCTAAAGATGGTCACAGCCTGCTGTGGAGTGCTCTAGGCCCTGAACAAAAGGTGCTGGACCCGAAGAAACGACTGATTTAAAGTTGGAACTCAGCAACCATCATCTTGGGCTGCCATAGGCCCTTTTTACTTCACCCGGGGGGTAGGTGGTTTCAACCCGTTTCTTGCGAGAGTTTCGAGGCTTCAGGTGGTTTCCCATGACCAAACAGGATGAAAAGAAAGGGTAGGTCAACTCCAAAAAAGAGACCAGGCGCCACCCAAGCGGCTCGCTCCCGGGTGGCTCTCTGGGCGCCTTATCCCCCCTACCTTAAGGGAAAGGGGCCCAATTCCATTTGTTTAGTCTCCCCCATAAAAGGGAAAATGGAACCACAAATGAAGATCTCCAGGGGTCGAATTCCCCCCTCCCCCAATTCCATTTTTGAGGGACCCGGTGGGCTCTGAGCGCCTTCTCCAGGTCGCTGCCGGTGGCGATCTTCATGGCCGCCTGCTCGAAGAGGGCGCCGTCCACCCCCACCGCCACTAAGCCTGGCGAGGCTCGGTGAGTGGGGGGAGGGGGGCGGGGATGGGGACAAGGGGGGGGGGAATGGGGGTTGATAGGCCCAGATGGGTATGGCTCAATTTTAACCACCAGGATATAGACCGCAGGTTTTGATCCCTGGCACTTGGGAATTCACTTCTGGCGCTGAGATTCTTGGCGGTTGCAACAAATCCTTGGCTTCCATATGGGTGTGGCTCAAAATTTTCAAGGAGAGGCCTCAGGATCCACGTTCCCACTTACCAGGGCAAGCCATTGGAGGTACCGATCTTTGACCCACCGCCACTTGAAACCTCGGCTCGAGTGGGGGGGTTGGGGCTGGGGGGATGGAGCGGGGATGGGGACCGGGGGGGGGGGGGGATAGGGGGTGGCATGGACGCCTAGAGTCTATTTTGCAAACATACCCCAAAACAACCAACAACCCCAAAAGAAGGAGGTTGCTAAGTGTCCACCATACCGGGGGGGGGGGGGGAGGGGGATAGGGGGGATGGGGGAGGGGGATAGGGGGGATGGGGGAGGGGGATAGGGGGGATGGGGGATGGATGGGGGGGATGGGGGATGGATGGGGGGAGCGAAGAATCTCATGTATACCGTTACAAGGGGATACATCGCAAAGCTTAGGTGCTGTTCAACCAGTTTTCTTGGGGGATGTAAATCACCAAGGAGCTCAGCCACGATCCGACCAAGTGCTGAGGCAAAAAGGAAATGCAGGGATTTCTGACAACAACCCGTTGCAAAGCTCCCATGGCTCCCCTCCCCCAAAGGCCGTTTATTGGAGGCTCCTGTAAGGGGAGAACGGTCCAGCTAGCATCCTAGTGCCAAGCCAAGCCTTGTGGTCGCTGCCGGAACGGGGAAACGCACAAAATATCTTGGAGACCCAAGGCGCTGCCTTTGGCACCCATGTTAACCCGTCGGCACTTCCCGGACCCACCAAGTTCCCAGCTTTAAAAATGAGAAAGGGGCCAGGTGAGGTCCTAAGCGCTTTGTCCAATGGGCACCGCAACCTTCAAGACTCCAACTTGAATGTCCAACTTCTTTTTGAGTAACTTGTCCCTCAAGCCACCAACGCCCCGGGCGAGTTCCCACTGTTTTCTGGGTACCTGGACCTTCCAACTTAAAAATAGGCTATTGCCCAACTCCCTTGTTATGGGTACGTGCAAGTAGAAGAAACTCATTGTATAAGACATTGAGGTGCTGAGCTTGCCAAGCCACGTAGATTGCAACTGCGGTTGCTGCTAAGAAATTGAGCCCTTCTGGATGCATCGTCCAATGTCTTAGCAAACGTGTGCGATGAAGAACGCTTCTTTTTTGCCATCAGGGAAGTGCCCGCTAAGGAATCGAGCCCCTTTTCGGCCTCAATTTTCAGAGCGGCCTTGTCAGGCGAAAAAGGACTCCTTTGCAAACAAATCAGGGGCTCAGTTTCTTACGGATGAAGGACTCCTTTGCAAAAAAAAAACAGGGGTTAACAATTCTTCGCAGCCTTGTTGGGTGAATAAGGACTCCTTTGCTAAGAAACTCACAAGGTGAGTTGGTGTAGTGGTATCACGCGCTTGGATCAATTCCCGAAAAGGCCGCTAAGAAATTGAGCCTGAATTTCTTAGCAAGGGAGTCCCACAAATCACCTGGGAGACTACAGCCTAGCAAGTCAAGACAAGGTTAAGAAATTGGCTAAATCCAGACCCCTGGCGCCAAAAGAGGCGAAATGGACGCTCAGAAATTCCGCCCGGGCCTCGACCAACCGATTTCTGAAAACAGCGCTCGCGCTCCTGGAGTCTCCACCCAAGAAAACAATGGGTCCACCCCTTTTATTTTGGGTGACCCACCATTTTTTCTTCGGGGCAGAAGGTAACTCCAGCTAGTTCCTTCTTTCAGGTTGGTTCTTTCGCGGCATCGCCGAAACCACCCGCCGGAAACCCCTCGCGGGAACGAGGAGCGAACCGAGCGAACCGTGCGAAGCGGAGGCGGACACCGGCGCCTTTTCTCATGGCCGCCAACTTCTCGCGGGGATCTGGAGGCGCGTTGGCGTCCAGCCGGACAGGCGCCTCCAGCTCGATCGGCTCGATCCCCCCCGGGGCCCCCCGTCTGTAGGGGGCCGAAAAAAAGACCTCAGAAGGTGGGTGTGTGTGTTTGAGGCTACCCTGTTTGGGAGTTTTGTTTTGAGAGAACAAGGGAACCCTTCCACCCCCTCTGTTCTTTTTTGGGGGGGGATTTCCTCTTCGAGACAAACCCGTTCTTGAACACCATGGATCGTGTTTCGAGGCTGTCAAGATCGGGGACCCCCGACATGGATCTGTTGGTGTCCCTTTTTGGCCACCCCCCCAAAAACGGCGCCGAGCCTCAACTCACTTGCTGAGTGGATGGCCCGAAAAAAGTTTTCAAACTTTTATATTTACCAGTAACATGGTCTTCCCAAAAAGTTTAAAGTTCATGAACTCGGGAAGTGAGTCAAACCCAAACACCCAGACCCGTGTGGCTCTAAAGCGATCGTGAAATGCTGACCTGGGATGAACCACCTCGCTTGATTTACAAGGGGGGGTCTTCGCTCGAGTGATGAACCCCCAATAAAGCCCCCCCCCCCGGCATGAATCAACCAGGCTTTATTTCTCGCTGGTGCTCTGGGTAGGGAATGTGGGAATGAACCAGAAGGAAAAGATTCCCGGAGAAACCAAAAATAACCCAGTTGGATGGTTTTTATCCTTTATGGTCCTTCCTCTCATTCCCATCTCTCGCAACGTTAATCGACCCAGACCCGGGTCCGATGTGAACCAAAAAAAATTCTCCCGCGAACACGAGCATCAAATCTGGTTGTGGGTCTGTCTGCTTTTAGGCCACCCAAAATGGTTGTTGCTGATGTCCCTTAGGAACAGACCAAGGTACCCTCAACAAGAAGACAGGCCCATATGGTGTGATCATCGATTTGTACATGCTGCACATTCAGAATTGTACTTTCCAGCCCTTGATATGGTCTTGCAGAAAACTGACTGGTTTGCAGCCACCTAAAAATGAACAAATCCAACAGAAACAACAGTGAAGGTTTGGTGTAACCTTCTGGTTCCATCATTGTCAAATGTTGTCAAGTGTCCCCCACCAGACCCAACAAAAAAATGAAGAGATGCAAACAACAGTAAAACTAAAAGCATGCCAACCGCAGTGACGTTCATGAACCAAGGATCCATACCCATACCAATTTGGCATGTTCCTTGTAGGTACCTAACCATTTTCCCAGAATTCGGGGGTCTTTGTGAATAAATGTGGTACCGCCGAAACGCCAAAAACATCTCCGACTCTCAGGTTGCGGCGCTGTCTGCTCTCAGATCGGTGCCGCCCAGGAAGCGCTGGCGGAACGAGACGGAACGAGATCGAGTCGGGAGGGCCTGTCTGGTTTCAAGAAGGATTATTGTACAGAGGTGTATTCTTTGAATTATTTTAATTCCAGTCACTGTTTAGCGTCCTCTTTATGTTTGTTTACTTCTCTATATGCACTGATTGGTACCATTTAAAACATGTGTCGATTGATGTACACACACACACACTCACAAATGCATGCCGAACCTTCGTGCAGGCAACTTTAACTGCAAGGAGGGCTGATCGTATGCCAACCAAAAAAGTGGGGTGTAACTAAAATATGCGCTCCTAGTTGCAAGCATTTCCTCTGGTCTCAATTCTCCTTTCATTTGACATTGGCCGCGGCCAAGCTGCTCTCATTTGGAGTGCGGATACTTTCCTTCTATATGAGCCATAGTCAAAACTTCTCATGTGGCCTATATAGTCATGGTTCCATGAACAGGAATCATTCTAATGGTGTTTAAGGATCCTTACTACCAGCTGGGTGACCATACCTGCTAACCCCAAGTACAGGAACCGGGCGCTTTTGACCATGGCTATCTCGTTCAACCCCCGTGGTTTGGGGTTGGTTCAGATGTGAGTTGGCCCCCGCTTTCTTCCGATCCTTTACTTGAATGGCCGGGATTTTACTCAAGGGTCAAAGCCCTCAAAATTCCAACTTAAGAAACGTTATCGGTCTCCAGCGAGAGCCCGGTCATACATCGCAGGGTGCAAGTTGAAGAAGGATATGGAAGGCTGGGATTTGTTGCAACCGCAAGAATCAGCGCCAGGGGAAGTGCCCTTGGACTGGTTGGTTACCACTCCCTTTTGGGATGTGGGTGTATGATCTTTTTTGGGGGACCCCCTAAAGGGTACCCACAACAAGCCAGACTTAGTCTGTGCGGTTCATGTGACCAAAGAGAGGAAACTCGGAAGCCTTGCGCCCCTCGCGATGAGTACGTATCCCATGTTCATACTCCTGTTCTTAACGACCCTTTGTTGACGGGCCGCCCAAACCAATCAAACGTTTTCGGGACTGCGAGCGCATGGGTTGAACTTGCCCAGTGCAGTGCTTTCAGTCGTAACCCGGCAAGCCATCCATGGGCACAACCTGGCAAGAAACCCTCAATCCGACTTCTGACCTGTTCAAAAGGCTTGGCCAATCCTACCTAGAGTCTCCATGACCCGAATCAAAGATGGTTGGTCATTGCCCAAAATAAAGGGGTCACGGACCCATGTTTGAAGGGTCATGGAGTCTCCAGGTACTCCATAATCTTTATAGGGAAGCCACAAAGGGGACCAATGCGCAACCCAAGGTAAGGATCTTGCGGATTAACTTTGAACAGGGTTGACCTCTGCAAAAAGTTCAACTGTTTGTGGGTGAAATGGAAATCCTTGATTTCAGCCTGAAAGTTAAAGTCTAACGATCCAACCCACTAGCAATCAAGCTGGAGGCATTGAGCTCGGGTCGCTGCCTGTCTCTTTTTGGAGGGCACTTGTGACTTGTGCTTCTTCTTTTTTTCCGGGAAGCCATCAAAAGGAACACCAAACTCTATTTTGCGCGGTCCAACCTTAAAAAAGACGAGCCACCCCATAGCTTGCATGTGCTTAAGCCCACCGGACAAAATGAAACATGTCGAGTCTAGTGATAAATTCAATTGCTTTAAAGCCAACAAGGAGTTGTTTGTTCTTTACATTTCAGCAAGTGCAACAAAATGGCTTTCGTGGGAGCATTGAATTTGCTCGGCGCCGTCTGTTCCAGCACAACATGTGCTGAGCGCGCACAGCTCTTTTTCGCGCGCTCAGTCCAGTTCTCCCCCTTGCTGGACCTTCGCACAAGCCGCGGAGCCGTGCGCCGTCCCGATGTTTGTTGGCTTGGTAAGATTTAGCAAGTTTTGGGGCATCACAAGCAACGCAATTTCAGATATCCAATCGTCCAATGGCAGGCTTGGCAAAATTCAGCATATGTACCTGACATTCTTTCACGTTTTGCTTGGACCAAACAACACAGTTGCCTTTACGACGAGGCGAAGTCACGTCACCCGCTTTGATCACCCGCTTTGAGTGGACAAAAAACAAACGGCCCTCTCCAAAGGTTTGTAACCCCCAAGACGCAAAGGCCAAGAACCTACCGTCGACTTCGCACAGGCAAAACATTTACGAATCCCGGTCGTCTTGACCGGCAAACTGTAGCCGTTTCAAGCCCGAAAATAATCAAACTTCTGACACTTGTTCAAATGAGTCTGTCTCTTGTTTTCATTTTTGGTGGAAGGGAACCAAAAGGAAAACCACATTGCTTCTTTGGAGGGATTCCTGGAAAAAACAACACCCAAATGAATTACCCTCCAGTAATATGGAATTCACGTTCCGGTCACTTTAGTCAGAAGTCTCCAGTCGGCTTCCATAACCTTTTTTGCCACCCTGTGCATATCAAATTCTAAGACTGTCGTAACTCGTAACTAGCTGTTTCCGATGGTCTGGTCCTTTATCTCCATGCTAAGATATGACACGGAAAATGAATCTGCCCTAAGGGTCTCGATTGTTTTTGGGCCCTCAAATCTGGTTATTTTCAAGGGCCCCTGAGGAATTGGTCGGGGTTCTGCATTGGAGGGTCCGGGGGTGTGCATAGGGGTCATGACCCTTAGGGTGCCATTTTTCCATTTGTTCCAATAAGGGTCAATTTCATTGCGATTCATAAGGGAAACAAAACCTGAAATACGGCAAATGAATATTTCAATTTCTGGTCCTTATGATCGCAAATGAATCTGCCAAAACCTGAAATAAGGGATCCCCAAGTGCAGGATCTGCATCAGCTCGTTTTGCCCCATCCGTGAGCTCGCTCTAAAATCGTCAGATGAACACAGGGTTCCGTTTTTGTTAACTACCCCAAAGACGACTTAGACCCAGAAATGGGTGGATTTTCCCAAAAGGGACACCCCTGGGTTTGACCTGGTCGTCCAAAAACGGAACGGCCGAACGAACGCTGGGCGGTTCTGATTCCTCGGCCTCGCAGCGCAGGCGCCGGCCCCAGCCGGCTTGCGCCCTGAGCCGAGAATCCACGAGCGAAACGAGTCCAAGGCTGAAACCAAATATCTGGCAGTGGGTCACAAAAAGGTACCCAAAATGGAGCCCTGGTGGTTTTTAATTTTGACCCACACCCATCTGACGTTTTTTTGCTGCCAACCAAACATGAACAGAACCAACACACATGCAAAAAAAGGCAACAAGAGTAAAGTAAACCCCATCCCTTGCAGCTTTGGAGATATCTACCAACCTCCCAACTGCTTTTTCAACATCCGCATCCCCTTCATACTGTCCAAAAAGCAGTTGTTGCACCCATTTCCATTTGACTGTTGTTTGCAGCCAACTGAAAATAAACAGAACCAGACACATAAACACCAAACAACTTGCAACTTGTATCCTTGGAGATCGGGGTCCATTTTCCAAAAGGAGCTTCCTCCACAACTGTTGGTTTTTATTAGGGGTTCCCATGCTAATCTGTAGAAACCCCGTATCTTCCTTGCCACGTTTTGGACCTCGCAGACTTCCGCGTCCCAAGCCTCGCAAACGCGGCTGGCTCCAGCCCAGCGCCTGCCACCGGAAATTCCAGAGTCACCCCTTGCGATGGGCGCCACAGGCAGGCAGGCCCATCATGGGGGCGAAAACCGGCCTGAACCACTCAAAGGGGACACCCCCCAATAAAATCAACCAGGGGTTCTACTTAAATCCGGGGTAAACATTAGGCAGGGAAGGAGAAACGGAATGACCATGCTAGCTGGCCTTTTGGTCAAAAATAGTTGCTTTTCTCTTTCTTTTTCTCCTGGTACATGGATGGCATAAGCCCCCCCGAAACCAGCGGAGCCCATCGATTTTTAACCAAACTAACCGATCAAAAGGACACCTATGTGGGTGAAGGGAATGGGCTGCCTTGGGCTGAAATTTTGTGGACCCTTTGGCATGTCCACCACTTTGGAGCTTGACCAGACTTACACCTGCTTGTTGATCAATGGAATGATGAAAACCCCAAATGGCAAAACCGGAATGACCCCCAGAAAAACCCTCCCACTCGCGGTTTCCTGTATTCGGGAATCCCCAGGTTCACTCCCTCATTCCCTACTGAGCACCAGCAAGAAAACCAATGTGTGCGTGTTTCACGCGGATCGAGGTTTGGAGAATGAATTAATCTTGGAACCAGGGGAACACCGTGTCAACTTGAATTCACGTTCCTTGCCCGGATACCGGGCTCTGTTGGTCTTGTGGATGGCTTGGCACGTCAAACAAAGCAATGGCCAACCCAAACCGTGAAAATGAACAGCCACAGGCACAGGCCCAGGTGCATTCTCTAGGGCCAAGCAGGGATCTGAGAAAGGCCACAGTTCGGATCCTGAACAGTGTCGCAAACTGTCGTGTTCCTAAAATTGTCGTGTTCCTTTGCTTCCCTTTGCCCCAACCCGGAGAAAAAGCAAAAATGAAAGCTACCAACTCCAAACAACACACCCAGTTTGTCGGTCACACGGGAAACAAATCACTTGAGAGACAAAGGGAGGCAGGGGCCGTTCTCTCACTCAGGGTGGGGAAGAATGCACTCGACTCCGCACGGCTTTTGCTTGTTGCGTCACTGCCAACTGGCAAAAAGGTAGCTTCAAGATGAAACCCTCCAAAGGTTGCGGGTGTGTTTCAGACGAAGTGCCGCCCAAACCGTTCATTCACAACTCCATCATAGCTGGGTTGAACATCCGGGGCAAGCTCCAGAAAATGTCCAGGTCCTCCAGTAGAGAGGTTAGAATAAGTTGGTACCCATTTTTCCGTCTATTTTAGTAGGGTCCCGAACCCTCCAACCAAGAAAGGGGTGAGAAAGGGCGCCTGGGGGACCTCGAGGCTATGCTCCTGGCCCATTGGCATCGACTTTTTTGCCGACCCGACTGGCCTGCACCCACCTCGTGCCGGCACGGCACCAGTTTTGGGGACCCGAAACCTATCTGCTGATCGCTTGGGTTTACTACATGGAACC